CGGTAAGGATAACCTTAGAGCACAATAACTTGCAAGCCTCAAACCCCAATAAGATTAACCTTAAAAAACAATAACATAGAAGTCTTAAGTCCGAAGAAGGTTAAACCTAGAACACAGTGACTTTCAAGCCTTCAACCTCAAGAAGGTTAAGCCTAGCATCAAATTACCTAAAAGATTTAAGCCCCACAAAGGTTAACCTTAGAACACAATAACCTGCAAACCTTAAGCCCGAGGAAGATTAACCCTAGAAAACAATGATCTACAAGCGTTGAACCCCATAAACAGTATTTATATCATTTGACTATATATATATATATATATATATATATATATATATATATATATATATATATATATATATAGAGGAAGTCAGTACCTAATAAATGCTGTCGTCTATCAAATTGCTTTATTGTCAATCTGTAACCATAATAAGTATGCAAAGGTCTTGATTTCACAATGTAACAGTCCTAATATAAATAAAAGTGAACACTCATTGGTTCAAAATATTTTTTAGGATCATTAAATCTGTATGATGATATACCGCAAATCGGACACCTAGTCGTTGCATTGTTTTCAAGAATGGTATTGACACATTTCCCATCATATAAAGTTTGCAATATATGAAACTTCACTCTTACCGTTTTTCTATCAGAAGCTTTCATTCTGTGTCATTTCAGAGCACTGATCTCTTGGTTTAAACGATCGTACTCTTCCGAAATTGTGGCAATGTCTTCTTTTTTAAATCATATCCTTAGGAAGGAGGATATTCTTTGGAAGGAAAGATGAATTTTATGTATATGGAGGTGAAGATACGATTGGATTGGATTTATAAGATAAAAGAATGTAAAGAAAAGGTAGAACATTAAACATATATAATACATAAATTTCTAATTCTTTTGGAAATCGCATTAGAGAATTCTTTGCTTAGAAATTACATAGATCTAAAGAAAAATAGAATAAACGAAATAACATGTGCTTTATTCTCAAACACATTGCATGCCTCCGTCTTTGATTAGCACTGATGGAGCATAAATATAGCGACGTCAAACAAATTAAAAAAAAAAACAAATAAGATATAAAAACAGAAATTTTACTATGTAGAATATCCTTTCTTTATGTATTCAGAAATTTGAAACTCGGTAGCTTAAGATTTCAAGCACTTCCTTTCGTCAAAACAAAATAACCTAAGTATTTAGGACAGAATAACAATACCTTCTGTCTACTAGATTCTTCAATTTTGAGTACTATTTTCCAATTCACTATTTTTCTGATTCCAAAATGTATTTTGCATACCCCATTCATTTTAATTTAGTTCTGAATAGACTTGTTTGCCTTTTCTTCATGTGTAGAATGAAAGTTTCTTCAGACAAAAAATTTATATTTTCTTTTTCTTCGAATGGCGATACCAATATTCGACAAATAATGAAGATTTTGTGCTTGTTTTAGTCAAAATCAAGAGTGAATGTATATTGGAAGCTAATCATTCAGTTAGCTAACTTTTGTTCTTTTTGAAAAGATGCCTTCGAGGTTTCAATATAGATTGATTAAAATTGTGAAATCTTTATCAAAAGTGTGTTTTTTGAAAAACATGTGTTGGTTAGAAATATTTTTTTCCTACATAATTTAAGATCGAATTTTCTAAGAGGTGAATACAAAAATGGATAATCAATTTGAAATTCTGGTAGAAAGGTATCTCTAATTCCACGGATTCCAGTTTTATAGAATTATATCCTAATACACTAGGGTGGACATTCTTTTGATTAAAATTTTTTTTTTTTAGTTTATCATGAAATTTCATGTTTTAGTGATAAGAATGTACTGAATCAATTAAAAAATATTACTCTTACATTTACGTATTAGCATACGTAAATATGTTAGGGCAATTCGGCGAAAACAAGACCATATAAGGAGCGTGACGTTACGAGTGTGGGAAAATTATTGTTTACAATGCAAAATCGATAATTGCAAAGTTTTTTTTTACGAACAAAAGTATTTTTCAGTCAACTTTCATGCACTAATATCGAATCTCAAGTTATTATAGTCATTAAATATATATTTGTTAGTTTAATTTAATTTATAAGTAAATATCGCTAGTAATTTTGCAACAAATAAATATGATGCAATTTCCAATATACAACGGCGATCCCAGCACCTTAAGACAGAGAAGCAAGAATTTGACACTTTGATAACTGAGTTGCGATAAAATTGCGTTGTGAGATAGCGATTCAATTGTACATACCTATAAAATTACTGATAACGATTATCACCCATTTGTTGATTTTATAATGGCTAAAAGAGGAATTCACGAATTCGTTATTTAATTATAATTCCAAAATGGGTTGTTAAGTTAGTGGTTTTATTTTGAATAATATTCTATTTATCACGAGTGATTTTTTTATGTAAAAATTTTCCGTAAATTTATTATAAATTCCATGTTATTTAAATATCTAACTTAAATCACTTATAATTTTAAGAGTCGATTTTCCCTGGAAAAACGATTCATATTAAAAAATTCGTTATCTTCTACTTGATTTTTTAAGTCACTAATTTTCAATTTCGGGCCAGTCATTTTGCGACAAAACTTGTACAAAGTTTATGCGTATATCAAAAATAGCGTTATAGGGGCTACCAAGCGTAGAAAGGAGCCATTTTTGCAAGTATAAATTCGCTTGTCGCTGCGGCAAGAGGATTCATAATTCTATCTTGCCCAGCAGCGCGAGCATTGAACGAAATAAAGACTCAGCTATTTCCTGAGACTGATTTCATTATTCAGTGGTTAGCTTGCTATTCCTTTTCTACACAATAATCTCAATACTAAATTCATAAGACTCTCTCTCTCTCTCTTATAAGAAAAAAGCAGTCTTAAATTATCTCCTCTCTAAAATCAATATTACCTAGAAATTAGATTGAGTATTCGTTGGGGCGCTGTCGAGCCTTCTCTAGATAGATGCAACAGTACTCCATTGTATTTCAAACGACTCATCGAAGCGGCGAACTACGTGTATAACACTGTGTTCGCTATTCGTTGATTGTAGAAATATCAAAACTTATAGAGTTTTTACGTGTCAATTTCTTGCTTACTCTTGGAAACGCGATTATGATTATATCTTAGTTAGAGTCCGAACTATTTATTTCAATGACGTAGAATAAGTTTCAAACGTTACAATGTAAAAAGAGATTATGGTTGTCAACTTGGACTAATAATATTTTCGTCATCGTCAGTGTCTTTAGTTCCAAAGCTCATTATGCGAATTAAAATCACCTTTTAGGATTCTGTTTGTGTTATTTTTAGTAATACCCACTATGTCCCATTCTGTATCGTTTAAATTAATATCGAACGGTCTATAACAAGCTATTAGAGACAGTGATTCTTCTAATTAGTAATTCTACTCCGCATAATTTGATTTGCCTATTGACCAGTTAAATATTTTTATTATGTTATAATTTAGCGATTTGTATATTAAAAAAACGATTCTGCCATCTGGTTACTGTGACCTATCTTGTCTTACTGTATTAAAGCCAATAAATTAAAAATTGATGTTAATCTAAAGCCTAGACTCAACAACTGTGAAGACATCGTGATCTTGAACAGTTTTTTCGATTTCCTCTTTTTTATTACGAAAGCTTCAAGCATTTATACGCAACTTAACAACAATGATTTTATTACTATTGACTCTACGAGTCGAAGTAATTGTTATATTTTTTTTCGACTCTCCAAAAAGTAATCGATTCGTCGCCGTAAGCATCTATCTTCTTATCTCCGATTTTGTTGATTATTCGAGTTATTCTGCTTTTACTATCAATTTGTTGTAAGTAGCTATGCACCTAACAAAGTATTACTATTAATGCAAAATTATTATTTACATAATTTTCAGTAATCTTATTTACAGCATTATATTTACTTTTATATGTGTCAATCATAAATTCAAACAATTGGACCTGAGAAATTGGGAAGGAAATAGTAGATTTCATTTTTTATAGAACAGCATTTGTAGTGACAAATGTCGTTAAAATCATTTTTTCGTTGTTATTTGTGTGCTAGTATTAGATGAATTGAGAAACGGCCTTTTAGCCGTACTTGATTTGTTTAATAATGCTGTTCCTTGAAATTCTATTTGATTAAGTTTGGGGTACATGCTAACGTTCGCCAGCTTTTCAAATGTAACGTTCGAGGCATAAGTTTTTTCACTATTATTGTCAACAATATCCAATACTGTGTTTTTCTCAGGTCTTTGTGCCAATATACTACTATCCTTTTGTGGTAAAACGAGTGAGTCATCTTTTGAGCTTTTTTAGCTTTTGTTACATATAGTCTCATTTTCAGTTTAAGACCATTTAATCTAATAATATCATATTATTTTCTTCCTTCGTCAATTTGTCGATCAACTTGTCATTGTTTAAGTAGCAACAAAAATAATCTTATGCGATTTTTTAAACTGACACTAAATTTATTGGTGGAGTTTTTATGGCAATAGCTTTGAGGTACATTTTTATTTTTACACCAGTAACTATATATCTACTACTATAGCTCGACTTATTTTGGAAATAGATTATAGGTAATCATTTTGAAGTATGAGGTAGTTTGTTTTTATTTTGTAAATTATTTATTTTAACTTTATTCAGAGAACTTTGAGAATTTTGGGAGCATTCTGGGGATTTCAACTCCGTTGTTTGTAAGAGCCATTGTTTAAAAAATTTTTTTTAAATTAATTTCAGTTTACTATGTGCGTTTAAACGTGGAAGCTAGATGCCGCAGATCGACCGTCGAGCAAACACAAGTCAGGTAAATCACAAGGCAAAGTGAGAACACACATACGTCTGACACTTTTGACACCTCGAACCGTACTGCAGAAACTAATTATTTTAGACTCTTCAAACTACTGTGATTAGTATAATGGGAAGAAATTATATTTGAAAATTAAATTTTGTTTAAGAAATGCCAGATGTGAAATTTAATAAAGTCGTTTTAAATATAATCATCATATTCCAAATCGACTTACCTGAGTCAATGAAAGCTTTTACTGGATGACCATTAACTTTACAATTAATATATAGCATTACTACTGTACCAAACGTTTCGGGATTATACTCAATAGCAGCTTCCATATTAGCTTCGATATTTTTTTGTTTAATTTCTTCAGCTATTAGTCTTTGAGCTTCTGTATCAAAGGGATCTGCATTCATCATTTTTAACCTCTGAGACTGGCGTTCTTCTCTAATTTTTACTTGTTCTTGAAGTACTTTTGTGAATGAATCTGTAACGGTATATTTATATAATTAAATTTTACTTTTTATGTCATTAAGAGACAATTATCGCTTAGTAACTGATATGACCACCTGGGTTTTAGAGAAAATCTTCAGTGTGTAAAAAAAATCGAAAAATAATGGAATTTGCAAAAAATCAAAGATTAATGTGTTACCTCGGTATGAGCACAGATTTCGAAATATAAACAACAACAAAATATGGATTCGACATAATTTTCTGCTCTTACCGACTTTGGAGGTCTGTCGTTTTATTAAAATTGATCTAATTAAAAAATCGTAGGTTATATAACGATAGTACATGTTAAATTAATTTTTATAACACGTGCAAAAACTTTCGGTCATCTAGCGGTCACAACAGGGAGCAAAAAGGAGCGGAAGAATACACGATTATTTTATATCAACGAAAATGCTACATTCTCAACAATTATATATCAACCATAATCGCAGCCCAATCAGACATCCCAATCCTTCCTTCCCCATAACAGACAAACTCACTATTGGACATATAGAAAAACAGGACATACACATTGTGGTTGGTCAAAATAAATTTAAACTATTTACTCATACTGTGCCAAACATCTGGTGTCTACTACAAAAATTGTGTTTGTCCTGAACCAGAATATGAGAATCGGGTCGAATCCTTGATGATTAGGAGTCAACTCAAAATAGAATCGAATCCGGTATCATAATAAACATTAATGCCACCGAAACGAATAAAAGAACCCAATAGAAATCAACGGTACCAAATAAAATAGTAAACTTCATGAATGACTACGTACCTCGGGAGGATAAGCCAATAATATGAGTCACAGTGCCCAATGGAGAAGAAGTCGCAGTATTAGTCGGTTTTAAAAAAAGGCGTGTACGTTGGTATAGGTACCGAAGGACGATCGGTTTAGAGCCTAACGATATCACCAACTGTAACACTTAAGAAACCGCTATAAAAGTGTACAATTTTTCTCATTCGCTACCCCGCCTTCTGAAAAAAGAAGGAAATATAACGATTCATTCATATGTTCAATTTCAAATGAAACGCATCCACCGTTTAGACTAATTCAGATTACACGTATTAGATTGAATATCGGAAAATATAATTGAGATACTTCAACCTCAAATTTGCGTGTATGAACAAGTCGTAAAATTATGAATCAATAGATAAGCTCGAGCGCACAGATACTCGAGTCGACAATAAAGTTATTTTATTTAAACCAGTACATCTCGTAGTATATTAATCATATTATATATATATAAAAAATGATAGGTAATATACACATATAAGATGAAAATAAATAACATCAAATATTGTTTTTGAACAATAATGTGGATGTAGTTGGATATGATTTTTCAAGTTAAATGTTATATTTGTATAACTTTTCACTGTTGAAAACGAGTTTTTCGAACTTTCTATGCATTTTATTATTTATTTTACATTTTCTCAAAATTTGCATACATGCATCGTTTAATATTCAAAATATTGATTATTTTTTAAAGATCTTATTATATTCTACAGATTGAAATTTTAACAAAGAAAACATCGAGTAAATATAGTATTTTTTAGATTGTGCAGACAGTATTCTTTTAATTATAATAGTTGTGACCAAGCTTATATTAGTGCCAAATTTCACATTTTTCCTGTAAGTCGCATAACTAAAATGAAGATACTTATATCAAATTTTAGTCAAAATGTAGAGAATATTATTTTATCTTTGTTCTCTAACTTTTTACCGTTCCCCGCGAAAAGTTAGACACGTAGAGCCTTCCGCCTAATATGCGCTTTTGACAAAAGCACATCACGAGAGTGAGAGAGAGACAGTCCTCATCTCACGCTCTTGCGAGAGTTGCTGAATGAGCAATTAGCCCATTCATCGGTGACATTAGTTATTCGTCATTTGGCGGGTCATTGCTGGCCTTTTTTCGATTGCGAAAAGGACTGGACGCGCACTCCACGACAGCGAGAGAAACAGTAACGAACCATGCGAAACGTTTAACTCTCTTGTAAGATTAACAGCGTAATAATAATAAAGAAGTCGATATTATCAAAAATCAGTGAAGATAAATTATAAATTATAAATTATAAATTATAGCTTGAACCGAAACATTTCGCCAATCCCTCTCGACTTGTGAAGTGTAACTGGCTGTAAGCGGTGCTTTAGACACATTCCACTATTCTCGTCAACGCTGGACTGCAATTCGACAAACTACAAGAGAATCTACATGCCAAAGGTGGCGAAGGTTAACCCGTGACTACAGGTTTTTCTATTTTGGAGCTCGGCAGATTTTATAATTGCTAAAAATGGCTGAATAACAAGATCAACGAATTTGCATCAAATTTTGCTTCAACTCGGAAAACGAGTTTTGAAAATATTCAGATGATGCAAAAGTATTTTGGGCATTAGTGTATGAGTAAAACACTAATAAAAAAGTGTTATAATTGTTTCAAAGAAGACTGCACTGCTGTTCATAGTGGTTCTGGACGGCCTTCGACGACAAAAACATTGGATAATATTCAAATTCGAGTTGCGATCATCATATAACTGTGCAAAATCTAAAAGAAGATCGAATATAAAAATTATAATTTGCAAAAATGTAATCTCAAATTTACAAATGAAACGCGCGTGTATGAAGTTATATTATATAGAAATTGCTCAGTGCACAGTGAAAAAGCTTCGCTCAGAAATCTCTCAGGATAACTTAGGAATGGTCAATAACGATGATACTGTAGTTAAAAAGGTTATTACTAGTAATGAATCATGTGTTTATGGTTATGCTTCTGAAACGAAACAACAGTCTCCACAGTGGAAGCACTTTGGATAACCAAAACCAAAAAAGCACGTCAACTTACGAAGCAATGCTAAGTCAATGTCGATTGTTTTTTTTTATTGTGACGGTGTTGTTCACCACGAATATGCACCGACAGGAGAGATAATCAACAAAGAATATTACATTTAAATTTTGAAACATGAACGTAGCAGAGAGAAGAAAACGTCCGCACTCTTGGTCAATAGTAACCGGCTTCTCCATCACGATAATGTGCCAGCGCCTTTTTCGAATCTTGTGCAGTAATTACTGAGTAAATATAGTATCGCATTACTTCGATACGACAACCACATTACAGTCCCGACATAGCCCCTTTGAACTTTTAGCCTAAAATTCAAAAAACCACTCAAAGGATAGCAATTCGATGAAGAAACGCCGGTTGAAAATAATGTGACAAACGTAATCAAAGCCATCTCTAAAAGTGAATTCCAGGACTGCTCCAATAAGTAAAAACATCGCTGGAACTGTATTATTCAATCAAATGGAGATTATTTTGAAGAATGCCATACACTCGATGATGAAGAATAACGCCAACATGGACATATAAAGGTGGGCCTAATACTTTCCGGAGAGACCTCGTATATGCGTGTATAAGTATAGAAAATGTAATTATGGAACCAGTGCCTAGAAAGTTGCTTAGAAAAATGGAGAGTGAAATCTTAAAAATAAAGGATCTAACCAATGATATTATGAAGCACATATCAAAAACTGAAGATTTGTGCTGTAAATTAAAGGTCCTTGATGAAGAAATATTCGAAAGTATAATCATCACAAAAATCACAATGACGTTACCGGATGACTATAATGATTTTTTATGGCATGAAAATCAACTGTAAAAGAAAACTTGATGGTTGAAAATTTGACATCATGATTGATCATGGAAGAAAATTGGAAGAAGGCTCAACAAATTAATCCTAGAGTTGCCCTTATTACAAATAGTGTACCAAAGTCAAGTTTCAGTGATAAAAAAAAAGTAACAACTCAAAAGTTAAAAGAAAAGCAACGTGGAATGCTTTGAATATAAGAAAACAGGACAGTTCCAAAAGACTGTTACTTTCTAGAAAAAGAATAAACATAAGCGTTCAGCGTCCTTTTCGCCGAGAAAATATATAAACAACAACAATGAAAATGAAAATCTCATTGTCAATGGGAAAACATCGCTATACTCAAACAACGAATCCAGCACATCATGGTTATTAGAGTCCAAAGCATTTTCACACATGAGTGGAAACGGTCAACTATTCAGAAACATTAAAGACTTCGATAACCACGTAGTGATTTAACTCGGTGACGGCCGTATTGTATAAGGAGAAGGGCAAGGTAACATTAAAATACTTGTGTTTAACGATGTTACTTGAGTAGAAAAAAACTTGATTGATGTAATGTATATTCCTAGTATTGAATATAATTTATTTTCAATAGGAAGCGTTCTTCCGAAAGGTATGTGAATAAAATCAAAAAATTTCAAATGCAAGTTCTATAAAAATAATACAATTGCTGCAAATGAAATAGTTTTGTAACTTAACAAGAAAGATTACACACGATGTAAGTCAAAATAAAAGAGTAAACGTATAAAAAATAGTAACAGAAAAGGTTCCGTTGAAATGAAAAACCTTTTACAATTATGGTATGAACGTTTAGTGTATCAAAGTTTCAACAATGTGAAAAACATCTTAAAAGAAAATAATAATAATAAACTTAATAAGAAAATAAACAATACTTCGTTTTGCGATAGCTGTGTTTTAGGAAAAAAGCACCGTCTACCGTTCCCAATAAGTAAAACAGAAATTAAACAAGTTGGCGATTTGATATACGCAGACCTGTTTAGGCCGTATAACGGGGTTTTGACCCAGCGCGGGTCACTCGTTATATAAATTACGAGGGGATTAAAACAGCTCGGTGTGGGCCTCGTAATGGGCTGCGCAAAGCCTAGCCCAGCAGCAACAGGAACGTCGTGGTGCAGCGTCTGTTTCCTTGGCCCGCGGAGAACGTCGTGTAGTCCTATGGGCGCTTTGGAGCGATCACGAAATTCAGGTGCGAAAGCCGGACGGAACGGGATTGTTTACGATAGGTAAAAGGAAGCGCAAAAGAAGAAAACAGATATACGAATAACATCGAGTTTACTACGGAGAATAATACAAAATTAATACGCAGCATAAGCGGGAGAGAGAGT